TTTAAAATTGTCATTACCTTTTCTCTAGGATTTAGGTTTCATCATAAATCCACATTCCTCTAGAAGAAGCAAAATCATGCACAGGGATGATTTCCGCTTTCGTATTTTCAATATTTTAGAAAATAGAGAATGACAAATGACTTTTTTTTTAAAACTGCAACTTCCTTTCATGTATTCCTCAGCGTGGCCCAGCCGTCTCTTAGAAGTAGGACATAACCCACTTTTATGTAGTTATTAAGATCAAAAGAAAGGAAAAAATACTTTTAATGTGGCTTTACAAATGATTCATTTTTTGGTAGAATGGGAATTAATGGAAATGGAATTCCCAATAAAAATGGGAAAAGAAGAAAGATCACTTTAAAAAGACATATATTCTCATTAAATACAGTCATATTTAGGGTCAATAATATTAAGGAAAAGAAAATGTTTATTTAAAGAAATATATATATACTAAAACTTGGAGAATGTGTTTGTGCGTGTGTGTGGTGTAGGTAAATTCTCCAGGCTTAAGTTTTTAAACTATATTGTCAATGGAAATTATGATTTGAAAATTCATTGCTGAGATATTTAACACTGTTAAAAATTCTAGCAAAATGAATGAGAGTTGGGGGCAACCACATGTGAATTGAGGAAGCAAAGGTTATTCTCTCTACTGACAGAGCCCATTTCTTTTGACTCTTTTTTTGGTTGGGCAAGAAAAATAATTCTCTCCCTCCCTCTGAGTTCTTTTTTGTGGAATTTTCATTCTTGTTTTTTTTTCTGCCTTTGTGTGGCTTGTTCTTTCTCTTTGGTGTGGGTGCCTGCTGTAATGAGGACACCTCATTTTTATTTCTCAGAAATCCATAAACATGCAGTTGAAGTGAAACAGAAAATGTTTAGCTCATGTCAACTGAAATAAAATCACACAGTGTGAGAGCTGTGGGTTAAGTTTTATTTGGGGCAAAATGAGGATGCTAGCCCGGGAGACAGCATCCCAGAAAGCTCTGAGAAACTGTTCCGAAGAGGGAGGGGGAGAACTCAGTTTTATATATGATTTCAGTGAAGGGGGGACGTGCGGTCAAGCACACATCTAGGTAGAGGTTTGCTGCTAGTCACGAGGAGCAGATGTCATTGTTAAATGATTTTAGTGCATGAGGAGATGCAAAAATTGGTGACATAAAATCTTCTCCTGAAAATGTCTAACTATCTGAAGGCCTGTTCAGCCAGTTTTCCCAGAGCAGAGTGCTTCATTCCTGACCTCCATCCTGAACTCCTTTCAGGGTGTGTTAGAGGTCAGTAGCTGCAGCAGCTCGTGATTTAGCCCAACCAGAGTTAGATGGCAGGTGCCAACGTGATCCAATCCTTGTAGAGGCAGATGGTAAGTGCCGATTCTTAGTTAGCACTCAAAAGACACAAGTTCTTTGAGCCAAAATTTTCAATTCCCTCCTGTAACTTCTAGATTAAACATCTCTCCATAGTTGAGTAGTACTACATAAAGCAAAGTAAACAATAAAAGGCTTGTTTCAGTTGTAAAAGGAGCAATGTTTCAAATCCTAATTAGGAGGTAGGAGTATCATTTATAGAAATTTGCAAGGTGACCACAAGCAGATTTGCCAATATGTGTGCACCATTGTTGTTCATTCTTAAAGATGCTGCTTTGGCTAAAACAATGACTGTTGTTTTATTGTGTTTTTTCCCCTTCGATCTGGACTGAATGAGATAGCAGCTTTATATGCTGTTCCTGGGCTTTGTCACCTAACATGTAGAGCATTTCATTATAAAAGTTCCTTATGTTTCAGATAACAAAAAATGAATTCAAGTTCTTCTTGATCAAAACGGCACATTCACAGGGTAGCAAAATACATTTCTTTCAGTGAGAGAGAGCCCGAACAAATGCTGAGCATGCTTGAAATTCTGTAGGAAGATGGGCATCACAATGGATGAAATCTCTGTGATGGGTTTGTAAGGGCAGACCAAAGGAAAAGGAGAAAGACTTGCCTTGAATCATGAGCCTGAGATGGAAAGCAAAAGGTCAGGGACAAGGAGCCCGGCTGTAAAGCCCTGCAGACACCACACGTGTCCGTGGCAGAGTCACTTTCCCTGGAATTACTGGCAATAGAACAGCCTAGCCGAAACCAGGGGAGGAGACATTAGTCACAACATTTTTGTCATGACCTTCCTAATATCTCACAAGGCACAAACACCTACTCAAAGGGGAGTTTTTATTGGCTGCCAGTTGAAAAGCTTTCTTGGGACTGATCAAGGAATTCCAAAGGTCAGTGTTAGGACCAAGGAAAAGTTCAAAGAAGGTAGATTTCAGTCCAACCCAAAGAAAAACATCCTAATAAGTGGAGTGTTTGGCTCCAAGCTGCCTTACCTTGGACAGTCACCCCCACCCGCCCCCGCACCCAGCAGCCCCCCTGAATGATTTCTGACTTTGTACAGGCTCAGCCCTGCCTCTTCTCATGGTCCAGACGACCTACAGCCCAGGTGGCTATCAGTTGCTCCTTCCCACAAGCAAGTGGGCGTAGGCCACTCTAGGCATCCCTTGCACTGGCCGGAATAGCTGGTGTTAAACGGAGCGAGGGCTGGTGAAAGCATTGTGGTGCAGGCTTGCACCTTCCCCGCCCCGGTTAGCCACCTGGCTGGCCTTCTGCCTGGCTCCCTGACAGTCATATTTTCTACTAACTCTCCCCAGGGAAGTTGAAGGAGGAGCTGGTAGCCCTGCCCAGATCACTTGCTTCCTTCCAACCTCTTTGCCTAAGGTTTGCCCTGTATCGGGTTTTTCTCCCCTGGGGAACAGCATCTCCATCAGCCAGATGGCTGTGGGAAGGCAGGCGTTTCCGTGTCATTCCTGACCAGCTCATCATTTGGACTCCCAACGACGAGGCATGGCCTGAGGTCATCTAGAGCTGTTCCTCTCACTGCTCATCTTCACCCCAATTTGACTTAAGTTTTGCATAATGTTCCCTCAGACTTGTCACCTCCGTCAGTCCAGTGTTTTCTCCTGTTCACCTGTACCCCACCTTGGACATTACTGGGTTCAGGGAGTGAATGCCCTGTTCCCTCCTTTGGGTCAAAAGTAGGGAGGAGGATCTTAATTCTTTCTGTCTTCCTGCAGGCAGCAGGTGTTGTCAGCACCCCTCACCCCAAACTGCTTGGAATTCACTTCCAAAGTCAAAAGCTACTGACTTACAGCTAACTCTTAGAAATCTCCACTTGAAGATTTTTTCTTGTTTTAGAAGCACCGTGCCCCTGTCCAGGGAAGTCAGAAATGCTGGCAGTTAACCCCCCTGAAAGTGCCCTGAACTGATGGAGAATTGGTGGAAAAATACCTACGCCTCTTGCCCTTCAGTTGGGTTAATTCTGAGTTTTAATTCATGATTTTCTGAGTTCACTCACAGAATTGAGCTCTCTTTGCCCACAGTGGTAACTTGTTTGATAATGAACACTTTCTTGCCTTCCTTTCCTCCCCCACCTCACATCCATCATGTCCAACAAATGTTTCCTGGGACCCTCTTTCAAATAAACTACTTGCACTTGAATCTTTATCTAGGGGTCTGCCAATGTGTGAGGCCTGATACAATGTCCAGCACACAGTAGGTGCTCAATATGTCACAAATACATTAATTAATCCAGGGCAGGTCATCGCTTAGTGATTTCTGCACTGGGAGACAGGCTACACCACAGGACCACAAAGGAGTATTCCAGAAGCAATAATCTGCCTATGTAAAAATATCTTTCCAACTAGGAGACCTGGAAGAGGAGCTGTGAGAAGAAAACATGTGGGAAAAAAAGACTTTTCTCCTCTTTGTGCCAATGCGCTTTCAGATGTGAAGGGGAGCCAGGCAGAACTAGGATCACAGGTTAGTTATGAAATCATTCAGTTTCTTGAGCCAGCACGTTGCCTTTTATGGACACTGCAGTCCAGGGCGCTGTGCAGGGAGTGATTTTCCACCACGGTCCATATAGTTCACAGCTTCTAGTCGCAACAAGCGGAGCCAAAAATAATAGAAGATATTCAAACCCTGGAGGATTGGTTTATAAACACATAAGGTTGGAATCATATATGAAATAAAGTTTTGATTCCAGAATTCTCATCACCCTCCTTTATGGCTGGTTGGCATCGCATTAGTATTTCTGTGTTATAAGTGAGGAAATGAGTCACAAAAACGGTAAAAAGGACACGCTGAAGACTCTAGGGCTGCTGTCTGAGGACAGCTGGAAGAAAATATTCTGGACCCCTCTCTTCGTGTGCTTAGGCCAACATGGGGTTTTTATCACAGCTTCAGACTCTCATATTTTCCTGATATATTTTTATAAGAGAACAAGACCTTATGGTTAATGAGCTATATAGAACAGCCATTTGTGAAGAGAAGTTTGATGAAATTATATATTATGGAGGTAAAATGGGAATATGAAAATCACATTTTTTTCCATAACAACCAAGAATTTAACATGGTTGAGTAAAATCAGATTCTTTTTCCCAATAGCTAAGAGTTTAATACAGTTGAGCACATGCAAAATGCAGTCCTCACTTCCAAGGAGCTGTCCTGCTGGGAAGTCTCTAAATTTCACATCCTTTCCATCAGAACAAGAGCTTGGGGATGGAGTAAACAGGGCCGGACAGCCCAGGAGGGGTCTGCCTCTGGAGTCTACACATGGCCGGGGGACGAAGACAGATGCATGGAGGGAGGCTGGAGACTAAGGGAAGAGCTGATGTTGCAACCTGAGTCTGAAGGCAGCCTAGAGGCAGAATTCCCTCTTCCTCAATTTTTTTCTCTTAAGGTCATCAACTGATGGGATGAGGCCCACCCACATTATGGAGGGTCATCTGCTTTACTCAGAGTCTACTCTTTTAAATGCTAATCTCACCTAAAAAAAATACCTTCAGATCAACATTTAGACTGCTGTGTAGCCAAATATTTCTGGATACAATGGCCTAGGCAAGTTGACACATAGAAGTAACTATCACAGACCCCCAAGAGGAAAAGTAATTCTGATCCTTTATGGTATCTTAGGAAGAACCCACTGGCTTTCCTGAATTTCAAGAAGCTGAAGAAGAAGGGGGAGGGGCACACTTGTCTTTACTGCTGAGGCTGAGAACATGTAAGTCCATGTCACTAAGAAGATGAGGAATCAGGGAGCCTTCCTCCCACTGCCACAAAGACAGAACTGATGACATGTCACCTGCCACACTTCAGGTCCACAGGGGCAGGCCCTGCCTTGCTTTCACCATGAGAGCAGCTTCCATTTAAGTAATGTGGTAGTTACTTCACATGGCAAAAGGAATTTTGAGATAGGATTAAATTCAGGGTCTTGAGATGGAAGATGGTCTTGGATGATCTAGATGGCCCAAAGTAATTACAAAGATCCTTCTAAGAGACAGGCAGAGGGGTCAGAGTCAGGGAAGGAGACAAGGGGATGGAAGCAGAGGCTGGAGGGAGTGTTTTGAAGAAGGAGGATGGAGTCAAGGAATGCAGGCAGCCTCGGAAATAAATTCTTCCCCAGAGCCTCCAAAAGGAACAAAGTTGGACTGGCATCTTACTTTTGGGACTTCGGACCTCCAGCACTGTAAGATAATAAATTTATATCATTTTACTACTTTTTATTTGTAACTTAGGTGATTGATTTCTTGAATATGTGTAAGTACAATTTGTCCTTTATGATTGGATTATCTCATTCTGATGATTCTTATTTTGTGGTTGGCTATATTCCTTTGATAACTATGTAAGTTTAAAAAGCTAAAGCTCTAATCTGTTCTTAGAAACCATGATCAGTACACATATGTAAACTAAAAAAAGTACAATATATTGTATGTATGTATTTACATGCAATATAATGTGTATGTGCAGTCAAACTGTAGTAATCCTACTTAATAAAACTGAAAAATTAATTAATTAATTTGTGTCATTTAAAGCCACTTAGTTGCCATAATTTGTTACAGCAGTGATAGGAAATTAGCACAAGTACCTCACTGGGACACATAGTAGCCACAGAAAAACAATTAAAATACTCATAATGGCTAGGTTTTAGGGAAATAAAATTGTTGGAGGAGACAGACAAAAAATTGAATTAAAATATAAGAAGAACACATAAGATTCAATCACACATACACACAAACTTTCTGGAACTAAAAACAATTTAAACTAAAATATTAAAAGATAAAAGTCATTTAGTGAACTCCACTTTTAGTTTTCACTTGATGTGAGAAAACGAAGAGCTGCTAGATGTTTATTTGAAAAAAAAAAAAAGATAAAAGAGTCCCTATTAAGGTCCAGCTTGGGGGTATAAGAGACAAATAGAACAAAAGCTTAAAAGACAGACGAATGTATAAGGAAATGAAAACTATGAAAGAGGGAAAAAACTCGAAAGCTGTAAATAGGAGAAATAACATAAACAGGATTCCAGAAGGATCAGAGGTATAAGTTTGCTAGAAATTGAATCAATCAAAAAAGAAAAAAGAGGACACTAATGAATTCATCTACAAAAGAGAAACAGACTTGTAGACATAGTAAACAATGGATAAATTGGGAAGTTTGAGATCTGCAAATGTTAACCACTGTATATAAGAAATAGATTAAAAAAACCAAATTTCTTCTGTATAGCACAGGAAACTATATTCAATATCTTATAATAGTCTTTAATGAAAAAGAATATGAAAACAAATGTATATATAAATATATATGTCTGGGACACTGTGCTGTACACCAGAAATTAACACTTTGTAACTGACTATACTTCAATTAAAAAATAATAAATAAATAAATAAATTTAAAAAGAAAGAAAATAGAATCAAATCTTCTGTGCTAACACGTTCATGGGGAGTCCAAGCTCCCAGAAACAGCAGGGAGGGAAATGGGAATGAGGTAGGCAAAGGAGCAGAGTAATTATAAAGGGGAACATACTGAGCTGCCTACAGCTTCATAAGAAGCATGGCTGAAAGCTTGGTCTGGTGTGATGCGTTCAGACAGGTGCTACAAACTCCTGCATCTCAGAAAGTCTTCAGGAAGGAATAGAATTGACTCTCCATCTCCCACTGGTGTTGTGTCTCAAACCGGTCAAAGGTCGGGGGCTCCAGTGACACAGATGTTAGATGGTTAGTTACTGTCCTTCAGGGCCCCAAGGCTCTGTTGTTGTTGTTGTTTTTTTTTTTTTTTAGCCTCTTTTCTCTCTTTCCTTCTATCTGATCTTTGGAGGCATATTTCCTGGCTGGGGTGCCTGTATCAAGCCATCATTTGATTACATAACTGTCCTTACTTACTTGTGCTTCAGCATTTTAAAAGAATGGAGCCTTAGAGAAATGATTCACAAACAAAATATACAAATGGTGAAAAGAGCCCAGGTCTTAATAAAGAAGCCACTAGACTAAAAATGAAAGCTGACCACCTGGAGACCAGTGATAAAATATCCACCATTAAAAAGTAAATCTTTACTGATGTGATTAATCTAAACTCATCAAAATATTAAGAAAAATAGGAGAAGTTGAAAGCAACAGATTGATGTATCAAATCACAGTGTGGAAGAGTCAATTTTTATTGTTTTATTTTCTAGAACATTTTCAAAGAAAGAGAAACAAATTCAGTTAAACTGTCACATTAAAACAATATATATATATCCCCAAGAAACTGTGCCTGTACTTTTTGCCAGTGCTCAGACTGATTACACAAAATTCAGTAACTTTAGGCTCTCCTGGCTCTCAAGCCAGAGGAGGCTTCGAGTATCTGTGTGTAACACATTAGCTAGAAGAGAACGGACTTGCTACCATCAACCCTTTCTTCCTCTAACACCCTCTCAGAAGATAGGTTTAGTGCTGAAAACTCAGAATAAAAGTATCTGAATGAAAGCCCAGAAGAAGTCAAACTTTGGCAGCCAAAATGCAGGGGAGTTCTTCCAGTCCATGGGAAAGGGTGGGTGGGGGAAGGGGGAAACAAAGCAATGTGGTAGGGTTTTATTAGAGGGAAGAGTTTTAAACGTATTTCCTTAATTTTTTTAAAAAAATTGCTCTTTGACTTTTGATCTCATATCCAAAAGCAGTGAAGGAGTGAGGAAAGAGAAAAATCAGTACAGAAGAATATGGAATTCAGTCCAGTAGATTTTAACCAGCTTAGAAATTCACTGCACAGATTCCATGGGGGAAAGAGATAAAGGGCCAGGTGAGAAGGAACAAATTGTGTGTGTGTGTCTTTTCCACAGGGCTGTCAGCTCTAACTCTCATCAGGGAGTTAGGGCCAGCACATACCTTTCAAACTGTAGCGTATGCTGGGTGCTGAGGGCTCCTGAGCATAGCTGAGAAGGAGATGGGAGGAGCTAGTTAGTACTGGGGAAGGGGAAGTAGGTGGAATTGACTGGACCAACCCAATGAGTAGGAGGTAATCCCAGGTCATTTCAACTGGACCTCTTGGTGGAAAGTCAAGAGAAGTAAGATGATGTGTTGAGGATATGGAATGTGTGCAAAATGGTACGTGGGCTCTGTGTGTGTGTGTGTGTGTGTGTGTGTGTGTGTGTGTAAGTGAGAATTTGCACCGACATAGAAAATAGGATGCAGCATGGTTCACTGGAGATCATTTAAGTGTAAGAATCATTCAGGAGCATCAGTCTAAGATTTTTAAAAATGAGAGTGGGGAAGGGGCCAGCCAATGGGAAATAGGCTCCAAAATAAGGTAGAAAGCACAGTCTATCCCCTGGCTAAGATATGGAGATGATACCCCTCAGGGTGCTCCGACTTCAGGGACCGTATTTTTAAGCCCCTATTTGAAACATATGCTGTGATAAGAATGTTAGAAAATGAGTTCATCCAAGAATATTCTACAGTTGCTGTATTAGCAGGATTTTAACTTCTGCACTGCTGACATTTGGGGCAGAATCATTCTTCACTGTGGGGTTTGTCCTGTGCATTGTCGGGTGCAGAGCAGCATCCTTGGCTCCTACCCACTAGATGCCAGTAGCACCATCCTGCCAGGTGTAGGGGTCAGAATTGCCCTGGTTGAGAATAACTGCTGTTTTGTAACAGTGAGCAGTCCCATTTCAGTCCTAATCCTACTTAACCATTGCAGCACATATTATTGTCTGACCACGCACTCCTTTTGTAAACGTTCCTTTCTCTTGGCTTTAATGAGGCTGTGTTCCCTCACTTCTCTGCCACCTTCACTGTCTACTCTTTCTCAGTCATCCTGAGGGTAAGTAGAGTCCTAGAATGTCTCTATTTTTCCTTAATTTAATCTGATCTCCTCCCTGCTCCCTCAAAGTCTCTCGTTTCCAAGCCCCTGGGCTATATTCAGTGGCTATGGCTCCTAATACAGCATGAGCATTGACTGAGTTACTGGAGCAGTGAAGTCAGCTAAGTATTCATGCTGCAAATCAACTCTTTTGTCCCTGAACTTGCCTCTGAACTTCCTATTCACACTTCTGAATTCTTGCTCAGAATTTCCCTCTGGCTATCCCTCTGGTGACTTAAGATGAAAATATCCAGGAATGATTTCTCTCTCTGCTCTAAATGTGTTCTTTACGTTTGCTGATGGCATCTTCAGCTTTAGTGTCCCTGAAACACTTTTGTCTTCTCCCCCTAAAGGCACTCGATCCTTGAGTCTGGGTCTGGATCTCTGTGGTGAGTCCATTTGATTGTGCTTCTGCAGGGTCTCTGTAAACCAGTGGGTTCTTACTAGACTCTGGATCTGCTGAAGTCTTGATCTTGGACACCCTAGCCTCCAGAACTGTGAAAAATAATTTTTTGTTGTTTCAGTCACCCAGTCTATGGTATTTTTGTTATACCAGCCCAAACATACTAAGACACAGAGTTTAGCACATAATTATTCCCAATTATTTAATCTGTATCTTGTTCCCACCTCAGTTAGATTTAAACTTTTGAAGGCAGGGATTGTCTAGTATCTTTTTTTTTTCTGTCTTTCACAGTTCCAGTCACTGGATTGGGTACATAGCAGGGGCTTAATCTGGGGGTGACGGTCCAAATCTTCATAGCTGACTAATTAGAACACTGGCCATAGTGTTCACTGACCCCCAGCTGTGCCCAGTGTTTTTTTTTTTTTTTTGCTGCATCATAGGGAAGTCCAGGGGTTCCAGGGATGGGACCAAGGTAGGAGGGGACGTGTGGAGGCCCCAGGGCAGTGGCTGTTTACCACCCAAAACAGAACTACTTACATGTTTATAGCAGGAATGGAATCAGCATCAAGCTTCTGGACCCCAGATATCACAGACCAGATAATTTGACGTGTTAGATGAGGCTGGTGTTCTACCTTGATCCTTCTTTTTTTTTTTTTATCCTTTTTTTCCCATTTTTTCTTTCGCTCTTTGGGGTGCTTTTGATTTCAACAAGTGAAGTATCCTGACACCCTTGCCTGGGGTGAGTCCACCCCAGGCATCACTTATACTCTAGGATCCACCTGCGGAACTTGGCAGAGCACTCTTGCTCCCCTTCCCTTTCTGCTCCCCCAAACCGTCCATTAATGGTTTCATCCATGAGCAACTGCTTAAGAAGCCACTCCCACCCCAACCTGATTATATGGAATCTGACTGTATTCATTTCCTAGGTCAAGTACTTGGGGGAAAGGGTATAGCTCAAGCAGTAGAGCACATTCTTAGCAAGCATGTGGTCCTGGGTTCAATCCCCGGTATGTCCTCCAACAATAAATACATACATAAACGTAATTA